CTGTTGTGACTCCTTTACACATTTTATAAGCGCTTCACGAGTTCTCAGCTGGTCAAAATACCATCATATGGAGGCTACGAACATACAACGAATGCATTTAGCCCAAAACAAAGCGTTGTTTTGGATGTTCGGTATGTTGCGAAATCTGTCATAAAAGCCGACCAATCAGGTTGTGAACGTATCCCTATGCCTTTAGGTTCAGTATTAAAATGCCAATGTGAATGCTAAGCGGACCAGGACTAAATGTTTTTGTTTTGTTTTTTTGGTCCGGACCAAGCAAACCGAGCTACACCCTAAAAGTTGATTACTTTAGAAATGCATGGTCTAATAGCACAGCACAGTGTCAGCTTTTTCTCAGAGAAGGTGCCTGTCTTAATTCATCCATTTAAGCACCAACACTAAAAAAAATCACTGATTTACCTGATAATCTAAGTAGTAATTAGGTAACTACAATGTTATAAATGTGAAAGTATGGGTGAAGATGAATATATGGTCTGTGTAAATGTGCCTGTGTGCTGTAGTCATCAATGCAGTCCAGACTTGACTTTACGGTGAAACATTTCAAAATTCAGAGGGTTCGCAACTAGATGTTGATCTGGTGGTGAACTCAAGAATGATTGCCTAATGTTTTTTAAATGGTCTCGGATCAGTGTTATAATGTATTGAGCGCTTCGAAAAAGTGAATCGTTTGGTTTAGATAATTAAGAGCTTCAAAAAGCTTTAGTTTCTCCTATCACTAACAAAAATACTTTATTTGATAAATGTGCTCTGCAGGCACTAAAAGTACTGAAGACATCAGAGTTCATGCCATTCGTGGTTTTCATTGCTGCCCCAGAGCTCGAGACACTACGGGCCATGCACAAAGCTGTGGTGGATGCTGGGATCACAACCAAGCTACTGACGGTCAGCCTAATTTCTGTTTATCAAATTCACTTTCTCAATTTTTTTCCCAATAATGTAGAAACATTAGAGTTACCATAGGCTCTGAGATTAAGTGTGATGACTTTTCTTTTTGTCTTTTTAGGAAACGGACCTAAAGAAAACAGTGGACGAAAGTGCCAGGATCAAGCGGGCATACAATCACTACTTTGATCTGACTATAGTTAATGACAATCTGGACAAGGCCTTTGAGAAACTGCAGGCAGCTGTGGAGCAGCTGACCACACAACCACAGTGGGTCCCTGTGAACTGGGTTTACTGAGACGTACAGAGGTCCAGACACCCCATCATCATCATCATCGGTGGCACAATGATAGGTCAGCGGCACAGAACACAAGTTCACATTCAACGGACCCACCAGTCACTATGCAAATGTACACTAGCCATCCGGTCACGGCAGACATAAGGGAAGTGTACTTATTTATTTACATTTTTTATTTTCTACTGACTAAACTTAAATAGTTGGAGGGAAAAAACAAATAGGATTTTTTTTTTTGAATGGCTTGTCATTTAAAAAAAAAAAATTCCAAATAAGAATAAGCTGCATTATAGTATTTAAAGCAGGGGACTCTTTTCTTACTGTAATTTTAGTGTGACAAATGTTGGTTTACAGTGCAGGATTCATCTCGCATCTCTTCATCTTTCTGAAACGTGCTGTCATACAGTTCAGTCACTACAGTATGCCAAATTATTTAAGCAGCTTTAGATTATCCAGCTTCTGACTCAATAAGATCTTCGTAAGTGTCATCCTGTTTTCCTCTGATTTCATTTGAGTTAAATTCAAGGAATGCTAGGAGTAAGCCAAATTTGACTTTTATAAGTATCACAATAGCACTTTATTTTACAGTCCTGTTTTGTACGTACTATAATAACTAGGTACTAATCCTGAACCTAACCTTAAAGCCCAGAGTATACTTCAGTTTTGATGCAAATGCTTAAAGGGGTAGTTCACCAAAAAAATTGTCATTTACTCACCCTTGCGTTGTTCCAAACCTGTATGAATTTCTTTCTTTTGTTAAACATAAAAAGATATTTTAAAGAATGTGGGTAACCAAACAGTTGTTGGTCCCCTTTGACTTCCATAGTATGGAAAAATACTATGAAAGTCAGAGGGGACCAGAAACCATTTGGTTACCCACATTCTTCAAAATATCATCTTTTGAGTTCAGCAGAAGAATAAGAAATTCATTCCAGTTTGGAACAATGTGAGGTTGAGTAAATTATGACAGAATTTTAACTTTTGGGTAAACTATCCCTTTAACAGGTGTGAAATTCTGCTTCATCCCATTTGCTTTTTATTTTTACCCCCCTACTGAGACTATGTGCAGAACAAATGTGCACCTTGTGGACAAACTAATTAGTGTGAAAAAGTTTATCTGACAGATGCTGTGCCCAAAATCGAATACTTCCCCTACTACATAGTATGCAAAAAACAGTACGCAAACAATAGTATTACGTCCAAATTTTTTAATGGTTGCAAAGTAAATTCCAGTTCAAATTTCAGATGATTTCAGACGCACTGAGAGTTTTTATGTGGTCTCTGCAGAGCAAAAGTGAACAACATTTTCAAATTGGTGGGTGTTTCTAAATAATGCAGTGAAAATGATGCCCCTTACCTGACCCCACCCCTAAACACAAGAGTTACTGTAATGTGAGCCAATCAGGTAACACGGTTGAAAACACCCCTCGTTTTGGCCTCGCCCACCAATCTGGTAACCCATTACTGTCCTGCAGAGACCTATACTTCGACAGAGTATGCATGGTTTGAAAAATCTGGCTAGCGTATCGTACCCACGTACTATGCTGATGACGAAATTTACATCACACGCACTACACATACCCTAGTGAACCTGTAAAAATCTATACTTTAGTTTTGACACGAATGCTTAGCTTATGCATGCAGCTGAACACAGCCTTTCAAATATCATCCATTTGAATATTGTCAGGCGCACTAGAAAGTTTCTTTCTTGTCCAGTGTCTGCGCCAATTCTGATAAAAATGTCTTTATACTCTTAAAGTGCCCCTATTCTGCCTTTTCGAATATTACCTTTCATGCAGTGTCATCATGTAGCTGTATATGAACATAAACCATCTGCAAAGTTGTGAAGCCGACAGTGCATGATAAATAAAGTTATTGTCTGTTAAAACTAAAGAGTCTGCTCGCAATCGCCTAAACGAGTCGTCAAGGAATTCGAATCTTATTCTGTTACGGCTCTACGTCACGAAGTAACACATTTGCATAATGTCTGCCCACGTTCTACGTCGCCAACTTGCCTGCCCACAAACAGTATAATTTCCATGTGGTTAACATCATGTCGAGAAGACGCTGTATCCTACGCTGTGAGAGTAAATTTGTTTTATCACATCTTATAATTACCACAAATTTGTTAACACTTGACACTTACCACTAAGAAACGTCCTGCTCCAGTCGTGCTTGCGAATCGAGTTTCATCATCAGACTCCGGCTCGAATTGGTAAGGTACAATCGATACCATCTTTTCTATGTATTGACAAGTTTCCAGGGCTGTCATTCCATCATGGCAATGAGCGTTTAGTTTCCGACACGCGCTGTACGCGGTAGACCAATCAAGAGCCAATATCTCTACAGCTCTGGACCAATCACAAAGGACTGCGCCACTGACCAATCACAACAGTGAGGGCTCACGGAAAGGAGGGGTTTAGAGAGACTGATTCTTTGAACTGCTTCGCACGAGTCGTTTACGAATCATTTAGAAATTAGGTAAAATTAAATACATTTTTTTAGAAAACGAACGTGTTTTTGTTGTAAACATGTATGTAAACATGTTTTAGGAGGCTCATAAAGCAATATTAGCAACCTTAAAAATGGCATAATAGGGGCACTTTAAATTAGTTGCATCTGTCTCTTAACTGCCTCACACAAGTGCTTGTCAACTCGGGTGGTTATTGTTCTCCAGTAATTTGTTGTTCCATGTCATTCATTTCTTTTTGGACTGTGAAACAACGTCCCAGGCCAGTGTTGCCACCTTGTGGACAAAGTAATTAGTGCAAAAAAGGCCCATGCGGGAGCTGTGTAAAGTACTGCAAACATACTATACTCAGCAGTATAGTGAAGTATGCTTTGGGCTTAAGGGTTGGTTCATGCAGAATACGTTTTTGTGTTCTACTGCACTGCTTTTTAATCGTTTTATGTTAATGCTTCCCACTACTTTTCAGTGTCTTGTTTTGGTCAAGTTGAAAATGCTCAACCTTGGCTGATTATTCCATTCATCATTCACCAGCGCTGCACCTCTGCATTTGGATGTATTTGTGCGGCACCTGTAGTTTTTTAAAAGCAAAAGCCTGTTCTGTGTGAACAGCCCCTAAACCTAATCTTAACTCAAGTCCAATTTACCTTATATTACTCCGTACTTTATGCAAGTAAGTGCATGTACTATAACATAAAGTGGATCCAATATCATTGTTTCAATTTTATCGTTGCAGAATTATGAGCTTAAGTCATTGTGTTGCTTGTAATGTGCTAGTATACCGAATCAGCTAAATGCCTTTTACACGGGCACAAAATCACATTCACAAATGGAATATAGACCAAGTGTCTTGATCACAAGCTACCTGGCCTCACAGATTCATAACCTGTCATCTAGCTGTATTGTGATGTACCTCTGTCCCTGGGGACTTGCTCCAGTGTCTTTTTCAAGGCTTTGTAACTCAGATTTTTATCCAGCTTACTTATTCACTTGAAAATTCTATATTTTGTGATACAGAGAGTTGTATTTTCTGAAATTAAACGGCTGTCTAATAAATTAATCTTAATTTTGGATCACTTTACTTGAGATTCTTTCTATTTTCTGGTGTGCATATGATTGTTCTCCTTTAGTTTAGATGGCAGGAAAGTGGGTTCAGGAAATTACAAAACTGGACAAAATATGATGTAAACAATTTATTGTGCATTTTCACAAGAGTATATGTCCACTTTAAAAGGTTTGATTGCAGAAGTGCTTTAAAAAATAAAAAAAGACAAATTTATTACAAATATTTAAAAACACTTTCCAAATTATTACTGTTTTTACTATGATGTCATGCATAAAACAGCTGATAGGCCACTTAAGGATCCATTTTTTTTTTCTTCTATTCCCAGTTTGTAGATTGTCCACTCACAGACTTTAGTGCCCTTTGGTCCTCAGTTTACAGCAGGTATTTTGGCTTTGCTGTTGTACTCCATTCTGACAGGGGGCGCTAGAGATGCCAAGCCTTTAACTGCAATGCACAGCATGAGGGGATGGCGATCCTGTGGGTTGCTGATTTTTGTAACAAGTGAATCCTTCTCCGTAAGCAGTGTCACGTTACAGGAAGCAAAGAGTGATGTAATCTTCTTGAAAACCTTCTCATCGGTTAACGCAGCCAAAGCAGCATCTTTCAGAGAGGACTTCTTATTTAAAGTCATATTTTGCACCTGCAGGACAATGGACACGTCATATAGGCAGAGAAATGAAGCTCTGTTGCTTACATGTACAGAGCTGCTCAGTTTGTTGTCCTACAAGCCAGAAGATAATTAGCATGCTCAAGTTAATGATTTCCCTTAGGAATTTTCTGAGTTTTTATAATGATGGCTCTGGATTTATGAGTAAATTAAGGCCTGTAGTTCACACCACTTAACTTTTACGAAGCTTGCCAACAAAACAAATTCTGTCATTATCACTACACAACTTGTGTGTGTCTTGTTGAAATGTCCTTGAAGACTAGCTAAGGTGGCCAACTGTGCTAGAACCACCAAATATTATACCTATTGAACCTTTTTTTGTTGACAGCCTTTAAAGTCATTGTGTAATTTACACATCCTCAGGAATTCAACCTGTTTTGTGCTTTCAAACCCTATGCTACCATTCAAATGTTTAGGGTCTTTAAGATTTTTGTTGGACTGTTTTTGAAAAGTATGTTATACTCACTAAGGCAGCATTTATTTGATCAATAATTTATTCCTGTTATGTCAAAGCTGAAATTTCAGCATTACTCCAGCCATTACATTCACATGATCCTTCATAAATTATTGTAATATGCTGATTTGGTGCCCAGAAAACATTTACTTGAAATAGAAATCTATTGTAACATTATAAATGTCTTTACTGGTGCTTTTGATCTATTTAATGCACCCTTGCTAAATAAAAATATTAATTTATTTATTTAACTTTTGAACCGTTGTACAAGTTGCTAAATAAGCATTACAATTGATTGTATGACTCGTGTGAACTCCCATCCAAATTGTAGCAATTGGATAGCCACTTGGATCCATCAAATGTCACATCTGAGGTATGGCACTGTAATTTATGTTGCAAAACAACATGTGAAAGTCTCTTCAAATAATGTTCCCCACAAGCATTTGTGACCTGTGCTGGCAAAATGAGTCGGAATGAGCAAATTTTCAAAAATGAGTTCTCTTCATTTTCACATTCTACATTAAAATACCTTCAAAATAATATATAACTTGTTGGAATCGGACAAAAAAATGACTGATCTACAGCCGTTTGAAGGCGATAGAGTCGGCAAAGTCAATTTTGAGAAAATAGAGTTAAAGGGGTCATATGATGCGATTTCAAGTTTTCCTTTCTCTTTGGAGTGTTACAAGCTGAACAAGCTGAGATAAGATCCCTGAAGTTGCAAAGACTAAAGTCTCAAAACCAAAGAGATATTCTTTATCAATTATTATGATTAATCTTCTAATTTGTTTTTGTATACATCTGAATATTTTGTAAGTTTAAATATGTATGAGATCTCCTTTACTAAGGCGGGACTCTTATTTTGACGGGTTTTCTAGTCTACGGAGCAGCTATATGGGTAATGAAAGCACACAGTTCTTCGGATTTAAAGTTTGTCAGTACCCCCCGAAAAGGCATGAGATCTGTATATGTTTGTTTACTGTTAGTTGTAATAAGTGTTTTGTGTAATTCGCTGTATGTTGATGATAATGCAACTGAGAGAGAGAGAGTTTAATGTTCACTTCTCGTGCTGTGTTTTGTTTAGCTCTTATGGTGATTTTATTGGAGTGAAAAAGGACGCAATAAACTTAATAAAACATCAGTAAAGTTTTGATGAGGTCCGCTACACTTACGAAAGTTACAAAAGTTATTTAGTTAAGAATATTGTGCAATCTTTTGTCTTTTGTTATTTGATTAGCATTAAAGTGCAGACAGTAGCGCTAGGGTTATGCTACGGACATTATACAGCTCAGTGCCTTCACGCAGTTAATTAATAAACCATCGGTTTGTTATATCGGCCTTTTTTCTTATATAGCCGATATGCCGATGGTTGCAAATTGAGGAAAAATTGGCCGATAAATATCGGCGGCCGATACATCGGTGCATCCCTAGTATTAACCAACTGTCCTTACTCAAACTCCATTAGGTCAATATACAACTAATCTCCAACACTCCCCTCCATCAGTCACTGGCTGCAACCAAAATCGCATACTCTTGAGTAGGTACTTCTTTTGAATAATGAATTAATGCTCAGCCGTGAAAATGTATGTTCTATGTAATATGAATCTGTGTAGGGGAGCGCGGGGCACAAAGTAACGCGGGGTAAGTTGTAACACGTGGTTTAAATATTTCCACACATGCTAGCATAACCAAATTTACAGCACTTACTAGTTACCATATCAACATTATTTTTATTTGAAATAAATAATTATTTTATTTTATTGACAAAATAGTTTAGTTTGTCTTGTATATTTTTTTCATGCGATCAGATAACATTTTAAGCTGTCATATGATCATGTTACAACGTGCCCCTCAGATGTTACAATGTACCCCACCTATGGGGCATGTTGTCACATTTCACTTCCAATTTTTGAAGGTAAATAAACAAAAACGTATACACTGTAATTATGAAACAAAGCGACATATTTGTACTAGACAAGTGTGAAATTACTGTGGATAAAAAAAATTATACTCTGAACCTCATGTGGATTTACACAATTTGAGAAAGTCAAAAAGTGTTACTTTGTGCCCCGCTCTCCCTTATTGTGAATGTAATCCAGACGTTCTGCATTCACCATGTATTTCACCCACCAGCGTCACTTTACTGCCATTCACAACTAGTAAAGTATCCGCTGGATGTGCACATCAGTTATCTTAGAACTTTTCACCTACTGTTTTGTGAATATTGTGAATTCAGACATACCATGCTTTCACATCACATTTTTCACCTATTATATAGTCGGGAAGTGTGCAATTTCTGATGCAGCCAATGTCCACACCAATGGCTGAGCCAAGGTTGCCGTGTTGGGCTAGCTGTGATGTGTCGCAGATTAATAGTTTTTACACTTTTTGGGAAATCAACTTTCCAGTGGCTTGAATAATTACTCTGCGAAAGAATAATTCATTTTATTGTAAAAAAAATAATTAAAAAATGTTATGTTGTTTTCAATGAAAGACGGTTAGAGTAGCTGCTGTGATGTTACCTTTCTGCAGTTTGTTGGTTGTTTGCCCTGGTGCAACACTAACTGTGCTTGCTTGCTTCACCTTCACTGGCCCTTCAACTTCAAAACCGCCCTTGACAATTGGCAGCAGGCAAAGTTCTGGCAAAATGGATAGCAGTACAATCATATGGCTTGTTTGACCCTCCAGAATTACCATTCCTATAATGTTTGAGGACATTTTTCTAAACTTCTGTATGATAAACAGTTTTGGTAGTGTGCTGGTAGTGTGTTTCTACTTGCTGTTCAATGTAAATCTGGTTCCTCAAGCAAAAACTGTTGAGAACCTCTGATCTGGAATGTAATTGGTACAAAACTTCCAATGAAAGATTTAGCAAAAATGATTTACCGTAGTGTCCAGTGTGAGCAGCAACTAGTTCAATTACGCTGTAAGCAATGGTGGTTTTGGGGGGGATGTTGATGGACACATTAGTGTCATACTCGGCAAAATGCTTCGCTTTATCATTGACTGATACCTGCAGAGAAACAAGAGACAGACAGGACAGTTTTTATTAAGAGGAGAGGAGACAGGAGGCAGGACGGGACACGTCCCTCTGGAATGTGGTTACTGGATGATGATACACCCAAGACTGTGTCATCGGAAAAGAAGAATGTGTGATCACAAAAGCCCCACCTTTAGTGTTTTATTGAACCCACACATTCCAATCCAGGTACCACCTTCCTGAACATCCTTAGTGACGGCGCAGGGCTGAGTGGTGACGATTCGTTCCTTTGTGTCTCAGCAGAGATTCAAGTGTGACTAGTGTGTCACATGGCTTTATTGTCTATAACTCTTCACCTACATCAATACACCTGGACCAATTTAAAAAAAGAAACGGTCGAAGAGATATATCTATCTTCAATTTTCTCCTGTTGGTGTCGTCAGGGTGATTTAGACATTTTTACTTAAAAAAAAAAAAAAAAAACCAAGCTAATTAATTTAGTTTTTCGGTCACATGACAAAACATTTACAGTGCAGGAACACTAATTTCACTGAAGGAGTTTTAGATATATGATCAATGACAAATGAGGACATAGAAGACAATGAAAGAAAAAAAAATTCTTTACACGTGGACATAGAAATGCAAACTTGTAAATCATTGTTACATTTCTAAAAACGGTGTTCAATCACTGTTTAAAAAAAAATAAATCCACATATGTACAGGAGTCTATTATGGAAGCCCATTTCCGCCACTAAATACAAATTTAAAAAAAGGTAATTGCGAATTTTTAGCTCAGACTTTTTCTCGCAATTGCAAGTTTTTCTCAGAATTGACCCTCTAACTGTAGCACTTTCTATTCTATTTTAATTCTACTTTATCTATATTTATCTTCTTTTTTTATTTTTTATCTTTTTATTTAAAAAAACAACAAAAAACAAACAAAAACTAGCTTTCTATATTTTCTATTCTATCTACTTGTTTTTCTTTGTGTGTGTCTGTGTATATGTGTGTGTGTGTATATATATATATATATGTGCGTGTGTGTATATATGTGTGTGTGTGTGTTTGTAGATGTGTGTGTGTATATTGTTGCTCTTTTGTTAGTTTTGACTGATTTTATTGTCCTAATTTGTAAGTCGCTTTGGATAAAATTACTGCTAAATTACTAAATAAATAAATTGTGACTTCATAACTTGCAATTGTGAGTTTATATCACACTTCTGAGAAAAGAAGTCAGAATTGCAGGATATCAATTCTGAATTGTGAGATGTAAACTCGAAATTGCAAGGAAAAAATTCTGAAAGAATTCTGAGTTATCTCGCAATTCTGAATTTCTCAGAATTGCAAGGAAGTAAGAATTCTGAGATATACACTCGGAACTGCAAGAAGAGAATTGTCAGAATTGTGAGAAAAAGTCGCAATTACCTTTTTTGTATCACTTTGCGGAAATGGGCTTCCACAGTCTTTACTACTTAATCATTATTTTTTAAATATTAATTTTTAAAAAATCTGTTTTTTTTTTTAACCTTTTCCCCCTTTAAACTAGACTCACACAATTCTAGACTCTAAATTTCACATAATTGCCTAATATAATAATGTGATATAACAATCAAGCATACTTAGAAAAGCAAAGCATATTTCTTAGACAACTTCAGCCTTAAATTTCAGTTTGTCATCAAGGGCAAACAAAAAAGGGAAGGGAGAACTTCATGGAAAAACAGAAATATAACAAGAATTTTAAGCACAAACAACACGCCATGTACAGTATCTCACAGAAGTGAGTACACCCCTCACATTTTTGTAAATATTTTATTATATCTTTTCATGTGACAACACTGAAGAAATGACACTTTGCTACAATGTAAAGTAGTGAGTGTACAGCTTGTATAACAGTGTAAATTTGCTGTCCCCTCAAAATAACTCAACACACAGCCATTAATGTCTAAACCGCTGGCCACAAAAGTGAATACGCCCCTAAGGGAAAATGTCCAAATTGGGCCCAAAGTGTCAATATTTTGTGCGCCCACCATTATTTTCCAGCACTGCCTTAACCCTCTTGGGCATGGAGTTCACCAGAGCTTCACAGGTTGCCACCTTGCGCTCTTCCACCTTCTGCTTGGCCAATTTATCACCTTTACCCTCAGCTTCTTTAGCAAGGCAGTGGTCGTCTTTACAAAAATGTGAGGGGTATACTCACTTCTGTGAGATACTGTACTTTAATTTCCTTATTTTCATTCACCAGTGTCCATATCTGTCACTACAGGTGAGATTCACTTGTATTTAAACCACATTCCATATCACAACACTCCCTTATCTGACCAAGCTTGTGAAGGCAGCAGCTCTAAACTGGGTGTGCCTCACACGTCCTAAAAAGTGAAGCTGCGGGCTCTTTGATCACCCCCTGGTGGCTGGCTATAAATATTATACTGGTAATAAACCCCGCCCTCTCCATGTAAACGAAAGGGACGAGTCAAAATAAAAAAATAAATTACACTTCCAATACAATTTTCCGAAATATGGTTTTGGTCATTTAAGGTAGTTGTTATTACGCTGATATATGTTCAATTGTTCGTTTTTGTGAAAAGTTTGATTTTAGCTAGTAATTTGATGCTATAAAAACAGGGCGTGTCGTTATGGTTGATTGGGTCTGTGGGAGTTTGATACTGCGGCTCCAACCCACTACACTACTGCGCAGACTCTGGCTCCTGAATCTCTACTGCACAGACTCTGGCTCCAACTGACGTCATTTACTCAAGATGACAGCGGCCATACTGAGATGCTTTGGCTTCACTGTTCTATAGTGGAAGGAAGTGGAGACGCGTCGTCCATCTTTTTTTTGCAGTCTATGCTCTAAACACACTCATCTGGTCAGTCCCTCACCTAGATTTGGAATCCTGTACGAGCTTCTGGATATCTACCTCCTGTTTCATTAGGTTTCCAAACGATGACTGAAGTTTGCTGGAGACCCCCCCCCACATTAATGGCCCCCGCCCCAAGTTCTGCTGCAACACTACCACTTTTGTTATCCACAACTTAGCCATTATAGATCAAAAAGTCTGTTTCAACCACAAATGTGGACAAAAATAACAATGTATATCAGCTCTCCCGAACACATAACACCTTGTTAAACACAAAACCACCTGATTTTAAATAAGAGTTTAACACAAACCATTTTGGGAACAATTTTCACATAGATAACATGATTCTACAGTCCCTTGAGAACAAGACATGTACTTAATTGAATGAAATGTGCACTTGTAGTGTACTTCAAAACATAAAAGTATATTTCTAAAAAAAAAACAAAAAACTGCAGATAATATATTATGAAATAAAAGGACATTTCATTTTACTTAAAGAGAACATGTTTCTTAACACACTTAAGTACTCTTTTAAAGCACACTTTGTAATATCAAATTTTTATTTTATTTTAAAGTTTTATTTTAAAGTAGATTTTAAATCATCACTTTAATATCTTTTGTTGTGCTGTTTTATGTGTTTATGTGCATGTACTTTATAATATCAGCTGTAGTGTTTTATTCAATATTACATTTAAAGTTAAGATATTTTACTAATTGTACTTTTGTAATAAACTGCAACTTCATCATTACAAATGTGTAATTACAAATATATTTAAAAACTTGACATACAAGTCTCAATAGAAATTATATTAAAGTATATTTTAGTTTACTGTTAATCTATTTCAAAGACAACAGAATTATTAAATCACAACTTAACCTTTTATGACCCTACTTAAGTGGGTCATAAAAGCACTCTAAAGATCAGCTAACTGCATATAATATATATATATACATACATTCATATTCACATTTCTATTTAAAGGGGTCATATGATGTTGCTAAAAAGAACAGTATTTTGTACGTGAATGCTTGCACTACCAAACTTCACAGATATACCCTATTAAAAAGGTTCCAAAAGGATGCCACAGAAGAACCATTTTTGGTTCCCCAATCTTTTAGTCAACATTTTAAGAACCATGCACGTAATAGGTTCTTCACGGAACCACAGATGCCAATAAAGAACCTTCAATTTTAAGAGTGTAGATCTGAAATAAAAACAACAAAGAACCATCTTTAAAATGAGACTTTATTGAAGGACAGAGGAAACGCTGCAGCGATCAACACGCAAGTCCCCCAGTCCCCCAACATCATTCGTCGTAGTGCGTAGTGAACTGAGCACAGGTTACAGGTCAAACTGTGAGGAAGAAGCTTTCAAACACTGGCAGGCTCATGTGTGTGATGGTCATGTTCAGTATTGTTGAGCCATCTGTCAGTCTTGTGAATAAGTTAAGATGTATATATAAATATTTCTGAGAAACTCAAACATTTTGTTCATTCAAGTGTCTCAGAGTAAAAGGCGGTCATAAAATTACAATACTTTGTGACGATACATTGGACTTGATTAAAAGTTCTAGCAAAGTTTATGTATATAATTTTATATAAGGCATTATATGGATTATATTCATAGTCTAATATACATCATAAATTCCTCGACATTTTGATTTTAAGAGGTAGACAACGCAGTTTTGTTCTGACAACATACTATCAATCTTTTTAAAGGTGCGATCACCTGCAGTACTACGTTTAGCCACAAGGGACCACAATCCAACAGTTTTTCTTGTGGTTTCTTGTGCTACTTACTATGCACATCAGCCAAAAAAAACAATTACTGGGCAGGATTGCATATTTCTCATACTTCCAATGGAACAATTTGCATAAATGACACTACAACATAATGTAAGCATATTAAGGCAATGAACTGCTGGGACATTAAATAATAAATATTAAGGAATGATTTGAAACGATCAGATTGTAATTCTGCAGCCACCGGTCTCTCACAGCTTTATCAGTCTCTACCTCACAAGGTGTGTGTTGTCTCTGGAAGGTGGAACAGTTAAGAGCAGGCAACAGTGAGCACAGATGTATATTGGCTGCCTCTGGGTTACCAGAGGACCGGACAGTCAAAGTTACTGAATCCAGGATCTTTCCTTAACTCCCAGTAAGTGTTGTTGCTCACCCAGGTGTCATCTCTGGACTTTCTGTTGGTGATTAAGCAGAAATTCGTTTTAACAACTAACTGGATTTGGTCATGCAATGTATTTTTCTTAAAAAGACAAGAAGTTGTGTAGTTCGTTCATACTGGAAGAATCGAGGTTGATGTGACATGTGGTTGTCCTCCAGGACTCTGCGTCTCTCTCGCTGCAGCTGTTCGATCCTCTGCTTCTGCACCTCTGCAGATTCAATGTTCCCTTCCTCCAATAACCTGCACACACAAACAGTCTCATATGAAATTCATTTTGTCCATGCATAACATGACTGATGCATTGATGCTTAATAATCACATTTCAGTTTCTTCTAAGATACTGAAACTTCAAAGTATTGATAATTGTTTCTTTGGCATTGATATTATCTGCTGCAATATTGTTAATTAAAACGAATATTAAAACTATTACAATTATTTTTATTAACTGAAAAAAGAAAGAAATAGAATGAAATATAAATATCAGCTGATGAAATTAACAAAAATTTCATGAAATTTAGAAATGTTTTAAAAATGTAAGTACTAAACTTACTAAA